CTTTTTTAATCCCCCCATTATTGATTTCTATAACCTGAGCAGAAACAACCGACACAAGGAGCTGACAAGAGGAAAAAAGAACGAAAACAACCCTCCCCCCCCCTCAAAAAAAATAAAAAATCCCCTCCCCTCTTCAAACTAACCAGTCTTTCATAGATCGAACTTTTCAAATTTAAACGCGCTGGATACATTGTTGCTTATTTCGAGGATACCTTGCTTTCAGGCAAACAAAAATTCATTTCTTTAATTAGTTTTTAGTAAGTTTTACAGCACTTACAACATATTTTGCAGGAGGTTGGAGGTGACAATAGAGAGTACAAAGAAAAAGAAGAGAGAAAGTGGGAGCAAACCACACCACGGCAACAGACTATTCCTGGAAAGGCAAGTAGCAATTTTGACCCAACGCCCAACACTGAAGATGTGGCCTATTGTTCAAGATCAATTAGATCTACTACTTGTTATCATAAACACAACAACAACAAGGATGGATTGATAATGGTGGTGATATAATGATATTATAATGAATAATGATAACCACCGCCACCACCAATACCACTACTTCCACCACCACCACCACCACCAATAGGCCTACTGCTCTGCTGCTGCTACTGCTACACAACTGCTACACTGCTGCTTCTGCTGCTGCTGATACTAGATTTAGATCTTGTAGTAGTTCTAAAAGTAGTACGAAGAAGAAGAAGAAGAAGAAGAAGAAGAAGAAGAAGAAGAAGAAGAAGAAGAAAAGAAGAAGAAGAAGAAGAAGAAGAAGAAGAAGGGGTGGATGATGATGATGATGATGATGATGATGATGATGATGATGAGGAGGAGGAGGAGGAGGAGGGTGAGGAGTGCTGCTAGAAGAGGTGAAGGAACAAGAAGATAAAATTTTACTTACACAAACTGCTTCAGTGTCGTTTTATCCGCCGCGTGATAATATGTGACTGCTCTCTGTAGAATGATGCCGTTGGAATTAATTTCTCCAGTGGAAGAGACGCTGAGAATCCTTTAACAGGAGACAAGCACTGATATCCACACATAGTAATAAAATAGTTCAAAATATACCACGTAATGCTAACTTGGGCAACCGTTCCAGACGACTGCTGCTGGTTCTGTTGACAAGGCCGAGCGATAACGCACTATCCCCCAGACCTATTCAACAGTGTACCCTGTACAATGTACCCTGTACAATTATAAAGGGGCGCGGGTGGGAAGGCAAGGCAAGGCAAGGCAAGTAGCGTGACAAAACATGGGGGCACTCAAGGTTCACATGTCGTTGCACTGTCGGTAGAGCTGAACAGATCAACAGGCTTCAGATAAAAGCGCACCCTTATCGTGGGAAGTTGAGGCGGGTAAAATTATGGTGGGTTTAGAAATGGGTTAACTTACTGATCGAGGCAGAATGCAGAAGCTATGAGAGGTTGAATAATTATGCTAGAATAATATAAAAAATGCAGAAAAGAACTAGAATTGACCGCACCCGCAACTGCCAACACTGGCACATCGTGATGTTGGTCAAACTCTCAATATACCGTACCGGAATGGAATAAACGCAATACGATCTTGTTTCGTTCGGTGACTCAATGAAGAAAGTTATTTCGGAGTGGGAAAACTCTTATTCCATGAAATAAAATTCTATTCATAATTAGATCTAGATCTAGATCAAGATTCTAGTGTAGATAGAACAATTATCATCCGTGATTATGCCCGAGGAAATAGTATTAGATCAACACAGTAGGCTTATAATGATATGAAGAGAGAGAACTTTGACGCTTTCCCCTGACGCCTGACACAAAACAGTTGAAAAGTGCATCCGTTTCAGGACACGGGATTGGAATGCGCCAGCAGGCCATACTTGTCCTCTGGTAGGATATTATTATACTGTGGACTTATTGCGGAAGACTTGACAGTGATGGCGTGTGTGTGTGTGTGTGTGTGTGTGTGTGTGCGTGTGTGCGTGTGTGTGCGTGTGTGCGTGTGTGTGTGTGTGTGT